GAACCTGGGTCTTCGGCTTGACGAGCGAACGCTTTAACCACTAGGCTACCCCACCGCCCCTGAGAACAAAAGAAACAGATTCCACTGAGTATAAAAGGCAAAATACCAGCGAATATTGTCAAAATCATTATCACTGATGACACCAGGTGTCCGTAAAGATACATTCCTACAGCTGTGCAAGTCTTAATGTGTTAACGACATTCCTGTCTCTGAATTTCGGAACAGGGTTGACGCTAAAAGGTCATGGTATTGAATGATCCCAGATTCAGGGAATTCTGACAGGATATAATCTGAATGATCTTAAATCTACACCAATACACCCACTACAAATACTGCTCTATCATATACTGGTTTGTCATTAGTGACGTATCAGTATCGATGTGCCGTATGTCGTTAGAATGTCGTTACGTTATCGCGAAGAGCTAATGCGCCTGCACTTCCGTATTCACCTCGAACCCATAAGACAGTACATCTCAACCAGAGATATAGTCTTCATCAATCGTATACCACGATAAGACATACACTGCAATTAATATCACACGGAATATGTTCCCCGAGATTTCACAGACTATTCCAAATACCCAGGCATTTCAACCTGAAGGTATTAAGATCGGACATCAAACGAGCCGTATTGCCCACCTGCAATTAACTCTCAACACAACGGAAGGTATTTTCTTCGCGTGAACACCGATGGCGGTAATTACTCCCAGTGACTGTGTAGTTCTCCCTTCACTGCGGAACTACTTCCGGTCTGGGAGATGGGCCACTAGATAGGATAAGCTATCATGGCTACCTTCTCGTGTTGCAGCTCATTTTAGACAACATGGTAATTTATGATGCTATAAATACTGCAAGGGCATAGATTCTGCCCCGTGTAGAAAAGAACAGATCTCACGTTTACGATATTTTAAACCTAGATAAAAGCAATTGAGGGGAACTGGCCATGTGCGACTAGATCCTAACTGAAGCTGACCTTTACGCGTGCTCGTATACGAATCCCATGAAGAAGCAAAAGAGACTCTGGTTTTATGTTAGCATTGTTTTCGGTAAGTCAGCTTAACCTAACACGTACATAGTATAGTAACAACCGCAGGTAATTCTCTTTCCAACAACAGAGCTTCAACAAAGTTGTTTGTAAGTTCGGATTTATTTCGATTGTCGAGGAACCTTTTCCGTAGTCATTTTTAAACCTAGTAGAAACTTGGTTTGATATAAGCAAGTAGATACTTTTCCGTTGTCAAGATGCGGGGAAGCGTGTCTGCATCTTTGTTTCTTTGGTACAAAAACAAGATAAAAAAAGATTTCACTTTGCCATGCTAAAAAGAACGTCAGTGCGATAGAATACCAAGTCTTGACTATCCCCAGAAACAAGGGAGTTTAAAAATTGTAAATTGCTGTGAAATGTGAAAACTGAAATTCAGTAATGACACCAGGTGTTCGCGAAACCTCGCCTCTACAGAAAAGGTCGGTATATTAAATACGGATTATGTATACTATGCTCCATATATTATGGTCTCATCATGGTGAATGTATGTTTTGATTATCAACATCTGTCTGTCACCTCTAGATTCAAGACAGTATACATCCTCTTCTTCTTCATCTTCTGATATGACGTGTGTGAACACAGAGCTCTTGAATTTGTATTGTTCAAACTCAACAATTAAACTATTTATTGTAACATTTTTAGTGTACAAATCGAAGCGTGCAAATGGAACTTGAAACGCGCACTTTGTTTATGTTGGCTGTTATATGGAATAGAAGTTAAAGGGTGTTGTTTAAGTGATCATGTCTTTTAACAGTTTTCAAGTAAGACTTTGTGAAAATTAAGTATCACTGTTACCAAGTGTATTTCTTGAAAATATAATGTCATTAGAATTCTTGCTTGTGTAATGTGGTACGGTCCATGGCTAAATTTCGAATGTGAAGCTAATTCCTTGTGCGATGCATTATAGATTTGTTTGACGTTACAGGGTTCACGTGTGACGTTACACGTCTGACTTTTGACGTTATAGGTCTTACGTTTGACGTTACACGTCTGACTTTTGACGTTATAGGTCTTACGTTTGACGTTACAGGTCTTAAATTTGACGTTACACGTCTGACTTTTGACGTTACATGGTGTTACATGTCCATGTCCATGTCCACGTAATACACATTTCATGCAAACAAGGCACTGGAGGACATACCCGTGAATTGGTCTTCAGCAAGTGCCCTGACTCCGTTGGTGCTTGTCATCATATCGCAGCTGTGAAGGTCGATGCTCAAGATCAATCAGTGGACAATCGATTAATTTCATGTCATGTCATGTAGCTGGAATATTGTTCAAATACTTTCTTCAGATTTGAAGAAAAGGTTTGATATACAAAACAATTGAAACAACATTTTGTTATAAAACTGATATGATTGACGCACTACCCATATGTATTAGCAAGGATGCAGCTTCATGCGTTGTCAGAAACACCATTGGTGTTTGTGCGTCAACACTACATCAGCCATAGGAACATGGATGTCGATAAAACTATTTTGTCGTGTTCACTTCTAAAAATATTCGCTTCATATTGATCGCCTACTTCGTTGCGAGGCAAAGTGACTTCATGTTGTTGCATAATCGAAAATAGATATAGATGACGTAATTATGACGTGATTATGAAAAGGTGTTTGATGCTATCATTAAATAATAGTTAATTTTATGCAACGTTTTGCACATTATGTTTGATTAAGTCTATAATCAGGATATCCAGGATTATTTTGGAAAACAGACTAAATGTTTAATGAACCCTATTACACAAAAAGGGGAGATTTATGAATGTCAACTTCATTCATAAATGAGGAGCAAGACGATTCGGAGTATATCTTGTCACCCGACAGAGCTAGAAAATATTCCAAAATGTCGTGTTTCTCCTTATAGAAAAGTTGATATCCATAAACATATCCTTTATAATGTTTTGTAATGAATTGACCATCCGCCAACAGTAGGCTTGAATTAGTCTTCGTCAACTTGTTGTTCTTCAAAACACATCTGTATACTCCTGTTAATGAATCAGGTTACACTTCCATAAGTTCTGGGTCCCGATCCACAACGCGTTCATAGCGCTACGACATTCGTAAGTCTAAGGCAAAGGATAGAGTTCCACAACGCGTTCATAGCGCTACGACATTCGTAAGTCTAAGGCAAAGGATAGAGTTCCACAACGCGTTCATAGCGCTACGACATTCGTAAGTCTAAGGCAAAGGATAGAGTTCCACAACGCGTTCATAGCGCTACGACATTCGTAAGTCTAAGGCAAAGGATAGAGTTCCACAACGCGTTCATAGCGCTACGACATTCGTAAGTCTAAGGCAAAGGATAGAGTTACGAGAAGTCGTAAAGTTACGAATGCTTTGTTGATTGGGACCATGATGGTGTGGGGAGTCATTGTCGAATATATGCTTGAAAAAGGTATATTACTTTCATAATGTCGGACAGGTGTAAAGTTGCCGGACAACATGGCGGATTCTGAATCACTGAGAACATTTTATCTGATTGCTCAATCATGTTGCATCATTGACAGGTGCAGAGACTTCAAGTACTGATTGTCTATTCTTCCTAAATAATGGTGAAACGTTCTCGTGGTAGACTCCATAACTCTATGTGATTGTTAGTATTTCGGATGCAAGATTAGATATCCAGGGATTATGTTTTCGCCAAGTTTTATTCTACAATATTATTGTAGTGCGGTTTAAAAATACAACGTTCTTAGAAGCGATAACGCTGTACGGAGCTAAAGGAATCTGTTGGTGCACCAGGAAGTACGCGCGTCGATCAATGATGGATGTGTTTAGAACTAAAGTAAACATTCTTCGTGGTCTTAAATGATATGTTAAAACTCGAAAGAAAATGCCAAAGAAAGTATGCACCCATGGCTCGTGGGAGCAAAAAATTGAAACAAACAAAATTAATGTAATGTAATCTGCAGAGTAAACCGGATATGGTGTGGTCAGTTTCAGTTGGTTCACAGATACCAGACATTCAGCCCAGTAACGTTTTAGTAAATTTGAGTCAAATTTTATCTTTGATGTAATGTTTTACCCGACTGTTTACCTACCATATATTCTTTATAATAACTCAACAAAACAAAAACCCACAGGTAATCACAAAAAATGCAGATGTACTGCTTATATTATGTTTTTCCTAGTGAGATATTAAAACCAAAGTATGTTTTCCTTCAGAATACAATATCTACAAAGCTATCTTGACCTAAAGATCCTCAGATTGTTTATACATTTCATGGATTCCTTTTTTAGAATACAAGCTTAATTATTTCTGCGCATGTTGATACAGTGAAGACAGTGTTCACTGGCCCCGCTGCTGCTGTGGGGTGTATGTCAAGAGATGCAGAGCCATAGTAGGTAATACGTGAGTAAATGATGAAACGCTATAGTGCTTTCATGTCTGGTGTCTGCCTTGAGTTCTTTTGGTCGTTAATGGAGACTTATACTGCTCAAATAAAGTTAAAGAACACCCAATTTGTTTCATTTTTTCTTTTTTATACCTAGCTTTAAATCCCACCATGATATGAAAGATTAACTGAAGTCATTTGAAAAATCGAGTATTCCTTAATATCTTTGAGTAGTATATATGTTCTTTAATAACCACTAAACAAGAATAACACTATATCGTGGAAGATATCGTTGAAGAGGCAGATGCACCAAAGTCCAGATGAAGATCGTACGTTGTTCTTAAGTTCAGTTGAGTAGTATATGGTGTATGATATACAATATTCCAGGTGTAACCTGCTGGTCCAACACGTTCTGTGCACTGTGTTTATCAATTCGGCCAGGTATTAACCGCTGAAAATACTGTGCTGTTCGTAAAATGGAAAACTGGTCATGAGAGGCGCGGGCTACCACACTGAAGTAGCCACTGACCTATGGTCAGTTGTATCAGTTTACGTAATCGCCGTTATATCAGGCAAACGTATTGACCCTCGTCCGAACGAAACAATCGCAGCTCAACATAATGAAAATACAATTTTTTATTCACATTCAGAAAATGTTTCCCTTGAGTTTCATTTCACGAATGGAAAATCGTTCATGATAAAAACTCTAGAGTTTCTCTAACATTGATTCAACCTACGTCACGTCTCTTGGCTGGGGGTATTGTAGACTTTGGCACCAGGAAATTAACCATATCTACAAAAGGACTCTGTGATTGTGACTTATTCAGTGCAAGAAAATACCATCAAAAGAAAAGATAAACATATGCATATGCATAAGGAATGGTTTATGAGCGATGTACGGGATAATATCGCAGTGTGAGTATCGTTTGTTCACTGAGCTGTAGGCTAATATTACATACATTAAATGCACCCTCAGAATTACGTTTCGTGTAGATGTCTACTTCAGCCAATCCTTGGGATAGGCACTGCTCTTTCCTTTGAAAAGCGTCCAATCCTTGGAAGAGCCACCGCTCTCTCACGGTTCTGTAATTCCTTGAGTTTCTCGGAAAGTCTCGTGAACTGCGAGAGGTCAGAACGGCGGAAGCGACCTCCGCGGGGTGCTGGGCGCAGACGCGGAAGACCTTCATCTATTTCGAGGGGATTTGCTGAGCGTCGCATAATTTTCTCGTCGTCTTCATCGCCAAGACTCTGCTCGTAAGCCGTCTGGTAGTCGAGGTCCTTGCCGTACCTTGGCACCGGGACTTGTCGACTAGATAAAGTCTTTGAGTCGTCCATCATTGAAGTCAGTAGGTATCGGATTTCTTCTGGTGTTAGTGCGCTGTCGCTGGATGGTGTTCTGCCCAGTCGAATCATAGGCAATCCTCGCTTACCCAACCTGAGCATCTGTAGACCTCTGCCCAGTCTGTACATGCTCCAGCCGTTCCGCCTCACTCTTGAATGACTAGTCTCAGCCTCACTTTCGTCATCGCTTGTTGCGGCGTAGCAGCTTCCTAAAAAGAAAACATAAGCTGTCAGTCACTTTTCAAACCAAAAATATGCATTATTTAATTGTAAGTTCGCATTATAGTGATAATTATAAGTATAATGAAGCCTTAATTAAATGAGGCAATATCCATACCTATCTTTCATCGTTACCAAATTCGATACATTTCGGGATGATGGTCTCGTCACAGTATGTGAGGCCGATCTCTGGTGTGCCACAACGCTATATTGGTGAACTACACCAGCTAATACGATCCACGTCAGACAGGTACCTTTTCAAATTGAAACCACTACTCAACAACTCTCGGACCAGACGCTCAACACAGATTGAGTGAGTGAGTGAGTGAGTGAGTGAGCGAGTGCGTGAGTGAGTGAGTGAGTGAGTGAGTGAGTGAGTGAGTGAGTGAGTGAGTGATATCATCCTATACCAGTTGTATAGACCGCTTTTAGCAGTATGTTCGCAATACCATATCGGGGGACACAAGAAATGGGCTTCACACAATGTACAAGCGAACCCTTTAACAACTTGGTTACACCACCGCCCTGCAATTCAATGTATTGACCTAAAGGCTGCATCGTCGTGATAGAATACCGCAGAAATTCTGCAATGTATTACAGACATGAGCGGCGACAAGTGCCGATGGTCGTGTAAATTATGGACCAGGTAACCCAGTGGCAGATAGCATGAGCATGAACTGTAAAGAGCGTCTCACATAGACATCAACACCCCAGTCGTCTTCTAAGAGCAGAATACGCATGTTGAATTCAAGCAGTATGTCAAAAGAAATTAAAATACTTTACGCCGTTCTTAGCAATATTCCAGCAATATCACGGTGGCGGACACCAGAAGTGGGCTTCACACATTGTACCCATGTGGGAAATCGAACCTGGGTTTTTAACGTGAGGGGCCATCCCTCTAAATAGGTAACCCGCCGCAAAATTATGATATAAACAGAAGCGAATAACCTGTGTCCTATTATCTAATGAAACGATTCCGTTGGGCTCAAAAGGCAAAAGAGCCGTGAAAACAATATGAATAAACATCGGTGGTGACACCGGGTGTTTACAATGAGTGTAAGCATTCCTGCCTTATAATACCAGCAATAAATTCCGTTCAAATACTTATTAGTCAGCTAAGAGTGTTGATCTATTTAAGAGCTATTGATGCCAAAGTGGATTTCAAGCACAATAACTGTCAATTTAAACGTAAATGAAATGTACACAGTTTGCCTTAATAATTGTTAGGACACAATCAAACAGTGGTGGAATTAAACGTTCAAAGAAAATAAGGGAAATGGTAATTAAGACGCTGCTATCAATGTCTTGTGTGATATCCGTTCTCCATGTCCACTGACTGTCACAATGATTGATAGCCTAATATGTACACACTTTAATGGCCAACCTGTCGTCATGCCTGCTGTTGACAATACCGTATCTGTAATTAAGAACAAATCAGGCCAGTCGATAGCATGTTGATAGAATTGATTTGCCGGCCACTTTGTGCTACCTAGTAACACCCAAACTGGACAATATCTCTTGCACCATGTGTTGTAACTCTTACACAGCACTTGATACAGGTTTAATGAATTAACAATGCTCTCGGGACGGAATGACTTTCGTTGTAAAATGAGAATGGTTATAAATTCACCGTTGATGGGTGTCAATATGTTGTGCTAAAAAGACAATTGTCAGCGCAGAATAGGAAGGGAAACTGAATTTGGTTTTGTTCTGTTTAAGCAATTTTCATTAGAGTAACTTTAGTATGACGAATAAAATTTAATTAGAATATTGAGAACAATTTTTACAATTAAATCAAAATATTCTAAAATCTTTCAGAGGAAGTTGTGGGCGGTTGATCGTCCAGTGGTTAAGCACTCGCTGGTCTTATGGGAGATTTATAGGTGAAATAGTTCCTTAAGCCGACCTCTGGTTTCCAGCAGGGATATTGGTGGAATATTGGCAGAGTCGATTTGTGCTGAGCAGATATACGTTGATGAATTAAGACGAGGGTGAGTTGGGGCTTAGGGGTTGGGGTTAGGGGGTGTTCTAGGGGATGGCTGTCCAAAAACGCGATTCACACAATACACCCATTTTAGGTATCGAACCCGCGTTTTCGGCCTGGCGAGCGAACACATGAATCACTAACCTACCATAACACCCTTTCTTCAACAGTAGTAATAGTTTTGTCACAACAACATTGTAGTGATAGTAGACATGCAGTAACGACAGTAGTAGAATTAGTAGTAGCAGAGGTTGCTGCGTAATACTATAACATGAATGATGTTTTATGCCGCTCAGTCATTTCAATTGGAAATCATCAGGACGGTTGTTGGTTGGTTGTTTTTTTAAACGCAGCACTCAGCATTATTCCAGCTACATGACGGCGGTCTGGACCAGACAATCCAGTGATCAACAGCATAGGCATCGTCATCAGGACGGAAAATATGTAAGACTTCCCACTTTGGTCGGAAAGACAAGCATGAGTAATGTCAAACATGGATCTAATCAGGTCGCTCATAGGCTCCTGGTATGCTCAAGGGACGCTATTCTCCACTGTGGCGCCTCAGATAATTTAGGGCACAAAATGACGTTCATTTCTTTATCATGTGTACTTTCGTGGATTCCATTAGACCAAGGTTGCCTGTATGTATGTAAATGTACCTTTATACCAAATACCATCACCGATATGGAGTATGCAGTAGGGAACAACCACACTGGGTGGATAGAAAACACATCTTTAAATATCTCGCATCATGCAATCCATCCATTACAATCCAATTTAGAAGTATTTATTTGTCTGTGAGAGTTTCCTGCAAATTTAGGGTATCAGCATTACTTAAGGGCGACTTATCGAGTTCATTGTTGCCAGGTTGTGCGAGTCTAACACCCCTAATACTGTTGGGAAAACTAGCCGAGATTCAGCGGATATTGGACTCGCGTAATTACCCTAGCGGAGACCACGCTTAAAATGGCGATCATTTGGCGAGATTTATCTTCATGTATTTGCCATCATTTAGAGCGGTCTCGACATATGCAGCACGTTGCAAAGCCTCATCCTTAAAGGTCAAATATTGTTTATCATTTTATCATTGTTAAAAGATATATTTTTTTCTGATTACTGTCCGGTTGACGTCAGGACCAGCTTCTTGTGTCTGATCTGTTCAATAATTTGTTATTTATATAGTTTCGGTTTTTGAAATATTGATCATCTCTGTCATACAGTCATTAGGTTTCATAAAGATCATTGTATGTGATATGAATTATGACAAGATTGTCAGGTAATAAAACGTTAGGGTTATTTTAGTCCCGCGAAACAGAATATTGAATAGACAGCTTTTATTTATTTGGATGACGCTTATAACAGTCTTCAATTAACTATGTTTGTTGCTTACATGACGTAAGTAATGTGCGACAGCGTGATTGGAATAGGAACAATCAACAGTGACCCTTTCATTTGATGGAGTATCTTTAGGGAGCGTTCATAATTCACGGGGAGGGGGTTGGGGGTGAAGAGAGCTATGAATTATGAACGGTCCCTTATATTAATTAAAACTGTTTGCACTTACATTTTTACATAAAAAGACATTTGTCTCATGATATACATCTTTGAAGAAATAATGAAAACTGCGTGCATGTATTGTTGATTAAAACACATATTTATATACACAGTTAAATGCATTAAACGATTATGTATTTATAGAGATATTGTGCGGGAAGGTGACGCTGAAGATCTCACTTGACATGAAGCGCCGCTGACACGTGCAGCACGTGGATATCACCGAATCTAATTCTGGATGCCGTTTACAACGATTCTAGGTCACTGCACTTCGCGAGACCTTACGTTGTTTAGTACCCCCGGTGACTAACAACGTTTCATACCTTTTTGACTGGTCTCATGGTTGTCAGATGAGAGTAAGGAACCGATAATCCTTGCAGGAATAACAAATTTCCGATCACACAATCCCCAAATTAGCCCCAAAACTATTACGACTGTCAACAGCTGTGACAGCCAAGCATGGTTGTAGACTTGGTCCGGTCTAGTAAAGTCATGTTTGGCGGTAGCGCGATTTGGAACTAGAACTGGTTCTTGAGTACCGGAAGTGGGCTGGGTCCTGTCTGGCATACCGAGACCGGAAACCTGATCAGTGCCGGAGGTCCTCGTAAGTGTTACAGACTGTATTTACAGACAGTGACACGACAAGTTGACGCCCTAACTTACGCTTTCTATCAAGCTGTGGTTTCTATCACCCAATTGAGGATTCTTCTGTTTGATTACATATGTATTTTGTAATTTCCAGAAGAGACATACCTACCTTGGTACAAACACAGCCAAGTAAACTGATCTGGTTTCTCATCATTATTTTTAGTAAACCACATGTAGTGATACAGACTGCAATGTGAGGATTCATATCAAAAACAACTTTGAAGTAGAACACCCATGCAAAGAATAGAAAATAAAATGATCAAATGCAGATTATTACTTTATCACCGGGTGGATTGTGCGGTAAGAAACGTGATAATTAGTCAGCGAATTCGCAAGAATGTATTTTTCATCTCTATTTGGGTTTCATCAGCGTGAAAGTTTCATAAATGTGTATTTCCCCTGGAAACATGTGTTTTGTTTATATCTGGTACATAAAATATGCAGCTTTTAAAACATAATATTTTCTTCATACATTCCGACAATTGGCGTCAGAGGGGTTATTCAAAATCGATGTGCCACTGATGAATATCTTACAAATTCAAATAGTTACGTTAGCATATCATAGATGACAACTCTCAAATTCACTGAATGCTGAATTTACTGAAATACTATCCCATCCCCCAAACACCAGGATATTTGAATGTTACTGCGACAGTACGATATGATGAAGGTGTTGATAATATCTTACCTCACACATAAATGTCGCTTTCTGATTGGCTGAGCGCTCTTTATTATTTTCAATGTACCCCGCTTACAAGCGAGTAACATTTCAATGTACCCCGCTGTCAATGGCAACTCATTTGG